AGAGCAGAGTCCTTGGATATCCTGAGCTGGAAGGACCCACAGGGATCATCATTCCAACCCCTGTCCCTGCCCAGACATCCCAAAATCCCCACCCTGTTCATCCCTGGCAGCGCTGTCCAAACGCTCCTGCAGCTCTGGCAGCCTCGGGGCYGGRACCRTTCCCTGGGGAGCCTGGGCAGTGCCAGCACCCTCTGGGGACAGAAGAACCTTTCCCTGAGATCCATCCCAACCCTGACACAGCTCCAGCCATCTGTGAATGTGTCATGAGATGTGGGTGCTCCCCCTCCTTTCCTTTGTTTGGGTTTGCCCATTTTGGGCCCCAGCTTGGCCGTGTCCCTGCTCAGAGCCCTTAAGGGTCCTGCTGTTCCCATGCCTCTAATGCTGCCGTTTCTCCCTTCCACCCCCATGCCCCTGCAGAAGGTCAGGAGCACCTGGGCAGGCTCTGGAGCTCCTCTGGGCAGTGCACAGGGCTCTCCTGGGGGAAGGGCACAGCKGGATGGGCACAGCAGGGTTGTGCCCTGGTTGGGTGAGTCTGGCGCTGTGGCAGTGGTGGCTCTGCCCATTCTGATGGCTCTCTCCTGGCAGTCTGCCCTCCTGGCCGAGCTCTTCCTGGAGGATGGGGATGTCCCCATGTCCCTGCAGTCCCGCAGGTCCAGCGGGGCCAGAGGACCCCACCGCTCCGGCCGCAGGTCCCTGCCCARGAGCCAGAAGAGCAAGAAGTCCCTGTCCAGCCAGGTATGGGGGGCATGGTGGCCCGGGAGCCCTGTGTGCCCTGGGGACCTGCTGGCCCTGAGCCGCCCCTCCTTGTCCCCCCTGCAGTTCAAAGCCTCCCTGGCCCGGCTGACGGAGGTGCTGGGCAGCACCACCCCCCACTACATCCGCTGCATCAAACCCAACGACGGCAAACAGCCTTTTGTGTGAGTGCCCTGCTTAGGGGATGGCGCTGGGGGCTCTGCTGTCCCTCCATCCCTCCCACCCTGCACGGTTTGGGGTGTGCCAGACTGGCCCGGACCCGTCCCGGATCAGCCCCTCTGTGCCCCAGGTTTGACTCCCGGCGCGTTCTGGAGCAGCTCCGAGCCTGCGGGGTGCTGGAGACCATCCAGATCAGCGCCTCGGGATTCCCCTCCAGGTATCCCCTGCCCCAGCAGCACCTTGGGAGCTCTCCCTACAGCCACGGGTCCTCTGAGCCTGCTGTGTCCCTACAGATGGACGTACCAGGAGTTCCTGGAGAGGTACCGGCCTCTGCTGAGCCGGGAGGAGCTCCAGGGCACCGCCGTGGAGCGGATCTGCAGCATCGCCCTTGGGAGGCTGCTCCAGGTACGGGCCCTGCTTTGGGGACGCACTGTGGCACCAGAATATCCCTCGCAGGCGCTTTCCCCGAGAGTGGGGGYCCAGGGAGGCACAGAAATGGGTGCGCAGGGGGTGAGCTGTGCCCTGGGATGATCCCTCCTGGAGGAGCCTGGGGAACGCTCCATCCCGGGATTGATTCTCCCTTTGCTGCAGGACCCCAGCCAGTACCAGTGCGGCAGGACCAAGGTGTTTTTCCGGGCCGGCCAGGTGGCTGTGCTGGAGGAGCTGCGGTTCCGCTGCCTGCGGGCAGCCTGCACCCTGCTCCAGCGGCACCTGCGGGGCTGGCTGGCTCGGCGGCGCTTCGGGCGGCTCCGCGGGGCCGCGCTCTGCCTGCAGCGCCACGCCCGGGGGCTGCTGGCCCGCAGGTGAGCGGCGACAGGGCTGGGGACAGCACTGGGGACAGCTGGAGGTGCTGCCGGCTCCGGGCTGGGCTATGGCACGGGTGTCCCCAGGGGAAGGGCTGGGTGCCRCCCCCTGCCCAGGGCTTTGTTCTSTCTCTGCCCAGGGAGCCACCCCTTGCCCTGCCCTGTCCTTCGGGTGTTGCTGTCCCTTCTCTGAGCTCTGCCACCTCCTGCCCAGCTCTCTGTCCCTTCTCTGAGCTCTGCCACCTCCTGCCCAGCTCGCTGTCCCTTCTCTGGGCTGACACCTCTGTCCCTTCTCTGAGCTCTGCCACCTCCTGCCCAGCTCGCTGTCCCTTCTCTGGGCTGACACCTCTGTCCCTTCTCTGAGCTCTGCCACCTCCTGCCCAGCTCGCTGTCCCTTCTCTGGGCTGACACTTCTGTCCCTTCTCTGGGCTCTGCCATGCCCTGCCCAGCTCTCTGTCCCTTCTCTGAGCTCTGCCATGCCCTGCCCAGTTCTCTCTCCCTCCTCTGCGCTCTGCCATCCCCTGCCCAGCTCCCTGTTCCCCCATTTGGCTCTGTGCCCCCCGCCCCAGCTCCCTGCCCCCCCGCAGGTTGGTGAGGACACTGCGGAGGACCAGGGCTGCCGTGGTGCTGCAGAAGACCCTGCGGATGCTCCTGGCCCGCCGCTCGTTCCTGCAGCTGCGCCGGGCCACCGTCACCATCCAGGCTTTCGCCCGGGGCCTGTTTGCCCGGCGCCGTTACCGAGAGGTGGGTTCCCGGTGGGGCGGGGGGTGCCAGGGTCCCCTCGGGGGGTGCCGCTGGTGCCACCGGCCCGTCTGTGCCCCCGCAGATGCTGTGGCACCGCAAGGCCGTGGTTCTCCAGGCCGCTGTCCGGGGCTGGCTGGCACGGAGCCGCTACGGCCGCGTTCGCCGGGCGGTGCTGCTGCTGCAGTGCTGCTGCCGCCGCGCCCGGGCACGAAGGGAGCTCCGCCGGCTGCGCCTCGAGGCGCGCTCCGTCGAGCACTACCGGCAGCTGCACAAGGGCATGGAGATCAAGGTGATCCAGCTGCAGTGCAGGCTGGACGAGCAGGTGGGTGCCAGGGGTGCAGGGGACGAGCAGGTGGGTGCTTTGCTCTGACTGCCTTTCACCCAGCCCTTTCACCCCGACTCGGCTCCTCCGGAGGAGCGGTGCCTCTGGGCTCCCTTCCTGGGTGTCTGTGCTCCTGGGGATGGGTGGGGTGCTCTCCTGGCTGCAGCCTTGCAGCAGTGTCGTGTGCTGGGGACAGTTCTGGTGTGACACGYTGCMCTGTRCTGCTGCTGGCAGCGTCCCTTGTCGCCGTCTGGGTGTCTCTGCTCTGGCTGTCGCTGCTCCAGTTCTGGGGATGTCTYGGGAGGAGGAGGGAGGTGGTGTGATCCTGTCTGGGACGTGGAGGAACCAGGGCAGGATAATTCTGCGGTTAGAACCTGCCTGGAGCTGGGAAAGGGACCCACACCTGAACTTTGCTGTGACTTCAGAGCCCGTGGGGGTGGCAGGGCAGGGAGAGCTGCTCTGAGCTGTGCGTGGGGGRATTCCAAGGCTCAGAGCTCCAAAGAGGTGGTGGTAAATGGGGTCTCATTGCAGAGGGACAGCTGAGTCCATGGGGGCTCTCAGTGATGTGACACATGGGGATGTGCCGCTGTCCCTGTCCCCATCCCCATTCCCCACCCTGTCTGATGCTCTGCCCCTCGCCCCAGGCCCAGGAGAAGCAGCAGCTGCTGGAGCAGCTCTCGGGGCTGCAGGAGCAGCTCTCGGGGCTCACAGCTGCCCACGCCGAGGAGCTGCAGCGCCTGCGGGGGGAGATGCAGCGGTTACAGGAGGACGCGGCCCGCGGTGCCCAGGTCCAGCAGCTGGCACAGCTGGAGAGGCACAGCAGGGAGAGCTGCCTGGCCCGGGAGCTCCAGGAGCTCAGGCAGGTCTGTTGGGGAAAGCTGCTGCTGCTCTCCTGGGGCTCCGCAGGGCTCCCCTGGGAGCACCTGGTGGTCCCTGGAGGAGGCACCGGGCCGGGCTCAGGCCGTTCTTCCCCTCCGCCTTCCCGCAGCGCCTGGTGGAGATGGAGGCTGCGAAGCTGCAGCTGCGGCAGGAGAGGGATGCCCTCCAGTGCACGTTGGAGCAGTCCCAGGACCTGGAAGGTAAAAGGGAGGCTCTGACCCTCTCATCCCGCTGGCTCCGGGCGGGTGCTGCAGTTTCGGTGTGTGGCTGTCCCCACCCCCGGTGTCTGTCCCCACAGAGCAGCAGCGGCGGGCGGCGCGGGAGAGCCGGGGGCTGCTGCGGGAGCTGGAGGAGGAGCGGGAGCGCTACCGGAGCCTGGAGCAGGAGTACGCCCGCCTGGAGCAGGACTATGAGAACCTGCGGGATGAGGTGGCCTTCCACAGGGTGAGGGGCTGCCAGGAACCCCCGGCAAGCCCTGCCTTGGCTCCTGCTGGGCAGCAGGCAGAGCTGGCTGCTCTCCTCTGGCAGAAATGGGCACCCCAGTCCATCTGCTGGGGGTCCCCAAGCTCAGGTGTCCCCACGAAGCTGCCACTGCTCCAGGGCATGTGGCACCAGGGGACCGACCCTGTCCTTCTCTTCCCCTCTTAGCAAAGCACCTTGAGGCGTTCCCCATCCTCCGAGAGYTTCCCGGGCTCCGAGAGCAGCTGCTTGTCCTCCTCCATGTCCACGGCTCCTTCAAGAGACAGCTCTGACCTGCAGCCTGAGGTCAGTGGGGTCACTGGGGTGGGGGTGCCACACGGATTGTGGGGACAGATGTGCCCCAAGGGCCCTGCTGGGGGGGGTGTCCCCAGGGATTCCCGGCTGCTGTCTCACCCCCTGTCCCTGTGCAGGGCCTGGAGGAGCCACAGCCCGGCAGCGACACCCTGAGCGCTGGGGGYGGCCCGGAGCCCTCGGAGAAGCCGTGTCCCCTGCCCAGGGAGGAGCTGGCTCGGGCCTGGGACGAGCTGCGGAGCTTCAAGGGCTCGGTGCAGCGGGACGASAAGAAACCCTTGGAATTCCTCAAGTGCAGAGTGAGCTGCGTCCCCTGCCGTGAGCGGGGTGGAGGCCGGGCTGGGCCCAGTGTGGGGCAGGGCTGGGTCCAGGGGGTCCAGGGTGGCAGGGCCGTGTCCAGGGTGGTCTGAGGGTCTGGACTGGCAGGGCTGTCAGTGTCCGGGCTGCCAGGCCTGGCTCCAGGGTGGCAGGGCTGTGTCCAGGGGGTCCTGGCTGTGTCCAGGGTGGCAGGGCTGTGTCCAGACTGGCAGGGCTGTGTCCAGGGGTTCCAGGGTGGCAGGGCTGTGTCCAGACTGGCAGGGCTGTGTCCAGGGGTTCCAGGGTGGCAGGGCTGTGTCCAGGCAGTCCAGGCTGGCAGGGCTGTGTCCGGGGGTCCGAGCTGTGTCCAGGGGGTCCTGGCTGTGTCCGGGCTGGCCTCAGCCCTCTCTCCTCCTCACAGAACATAGCGGAGAGGCTGGGGCTGAGCAGCTCGGGGCAGGCAGTGGGCGATGACCTGAGGCAAGCCTACGACGCGGTGCAGGTCACCAACAGGTGAGTGCAGCCCAGGGCGGTGGCAGTGGCTCGGGTTGGTTCCCCCGTGCTGCTGGTGGGGCTTTCCCTGCTGTTTACACAGCCATGGCCTGGCTCGTGGTGCTGGGCACTGCAAATCCTCTTTGGAGCAGAGAGCAGCCCTGTCCTCCCTCGTGAGAAGCATCGCAGCCTCAGGAGAGCGGGGCTGGCCCGTCCCTCCCTGTCCCCCTGTGCTGGCCCATCCCTCCCTGTCCCCTTGTGCCAGCCCTGTCCCCTTGTGCCAGCCCGTTCCTCCGTGCCCAGCTGGATGTGGGCACCCTGCCTCTCTTCCCCTCCCACCCTTCCTACCCAGCCGTGTTTTCTGGGATGGGGCTGGAGCATCTCTCCGTGCTCAGAGCAGCTCTGTGAGCAGATGGGATATTCTGAACCCCACAGGATCCTCCTGAGTGCTGGTGGAGCCCGTTCCTGGGCCGTGCCATGTGTGCTCTGTGCTCAGAGGGGAAATGCTGGGGGGGCTGTGCTGTCCCAGGGTGCCAGGGCAGGGTGAGAGTCCCCATTTCARCTTCTGGGGGAAAATGCCCCCTCGGTGATCCCCCAAGTGCCTCAATTTCCCTGTGCTGGCATGCAGGCTGCTGGTGAGCCAGCTGAGGGAGGAGAAGCAGCAGCACGAGGAGGAGGTGCAGGGGCTGCACCTCGACATCCGCTCCCTGAAGGAGCTGAGCCAGCAGCAGGCAGCCCTGATCCAGGACCTGCAGCGGCAGCAGGGCCACGAGGGGCTGCAGTACCACCTCCTGCAGCTCAAGGAGGAGAACTGGGTAAGGGGGGCTGGGCTTGGGGCTGGGGCAAGACTGGGGTTGGGGCTGGGCTGGAGTTTGGGGCTGGGTTTTGAGGCTGGAGCAGGGCTGGGGTTTGGCACCAGGACAGAGTTGGGGTTTGGGATTGGAATTTGGAGCTGGGCTGGGGTTGGGAAGGGCCTGGGTTTTGGGGCTGGGATCAGGGCCAGAAATTGGGCTGGGTTTTGGGACCGGGGCTGGATTCAGGGCTGGGACAGGGCTGGATTTGGGGCTGACCCCCTCCCTCACCCTGGSATGAGCTGCAATGGCTCCTTAGGGAGCAATATGGGAGCTCTGCTCCCCCTCCTCCTCCCTCTGGGGTCTGGGGGAGGTGGCTGAGCCCCCCTGGCACTGTCCCTGCCCAGGAGCTGGCCCAGAAGCTGGAGAAGCAGGAGAAGACCACCCTGAAGCTCCAGAAGCAGCTGAAAGCCTACACCAAGCAGATCCAGGAGCTGGCAGGTGGAGTGCCTGTGTGGGAGGGAGGCATGAGGCTGKCTCAGGGTCTGCAGGCTGGTTTGGGGCTGGTTTGGGCTTGATTTGAGGTCCCCAGGGGGTCTGGTGTCCCCAGGCTGGTTTGGGGCTGGTTTGGGGTCCCCAGGTTGGTTTGGGGCTGGCTCAGGGTCYGCAGGCTGATCTGGGGAGCATCACCCACCCTCAACAAGAGGAGCAAAGGCTGAGGAACATCTGCTTGGACTGAGCTGAGGGCACCCGAGCTGTCCCCCAGGCCAAAGCATGACCTGTGCTCCTGTCCCCAGCCACGAGAGAGGCCCCAGGGCCAGCACCAGCCATGGGACTGTCCCTGTCCCCATCGGGGCCATCCCAGGCCATGCTGGCCTGGAGGAAGGAGGATGAGGGGCGCATCATCAAGGCCATCATCACAGGTACTGTCACRTGGGAAAATGGGGCTCCTTTCCCCAGTTTAGTCCTTGCTGGGGTTTTCTGACACCCCCTGTGTGGGCTCCTCCTTCYCCTCAGGCAGCACCCTGCYTCTCTTCCCCTCCCACCCTTCCTACCCAGCYGTRTTTTCTGGGATGGGGCTGCAGCATCTCTCCGTGCTCAGAGCAGCTCTGTGAGCAGATGGGATGTTCTGAACCCCACAGGATCCTCCTGAGCACTGGTGGAACCTGTTCCTGGGCCGTGCCTTGTGTGCTCCGTGCTCGGAGGGGAAATGCTGGGGCTGTGCTGTCCCAGGGTGCCAGGGCAGGGTGAGCRCCCCCATTTCAGCTTCTGGGGGGAAATGCCCCCTCGACAGCCCAGCTGGATCCACACCCCCTGCTTTCCCTGCAGGTTACAAACCCCAGAGCGCTCCTGGGGCTTTCCCAGAGCTGCCAGCCTATGTCCTGTTCCTGTGCCTGCGGCACGCTGACCACTGCCATGACGAGCCCCGTGCCCGCTCGCTGCTGGACGCGGCCATCGAYGCCATCAAACGCCTCATGAAGGTGCTGGGCCGAGGAGCAGGAGCTGTGCTGGCCACAGGGGGTGGCACTGGGTCCCCAGGGCTGGAGAGGGTGCCTGGCTGGGGTGGGGGTGCTCCTGCCAGGCTGCTGGGGGGTCTGGTGGGCTCAGTGTGGGCCGCTGCTGTCCCCACCGTGCTGACCCCGGTGCTGTGTGTCCCCTCCCCCAGAAGCACAGCGGTGACCTGGACACGGTGGCACTGTGGCTGTCCAACACCTGCTGCCTCCTCAACTGCCTGCGCCAGTACGGCCCGGACGAGGTATTGGGGCTGGGGGTGTCTGTCCCCTCCTGGGCAGGGTGGGGGCTCGGTGGGCAGGGGGTGTRTCCCCTCCAGGGGCTCCATCCTATTTGCCCGGGTAAGCTGGGCTGACCCCGCTCAGGAATCCTGCTGTGTCCTGGACCCTGCTGGCTCTAACCCCACTTGGGGACCCCGCTGTGTCCCCTGCCCCCACTGGCTCTGACCTCAGTGTCCCTGCCCTGCTGGCTCTGACCCCACTGTGTCCCTTTACCCGCTGGCTCTGACCCCACTGTGTCCCTTTACCCCCTGGCTCTGACCTTGCTTAGTGACCCTGTTATGTCCCTGCCCTGCTGGTTCTGCCCCCACTGTGTCCCCTGTCCCCACTGGCTCTGATCCCGCTCAGGGACCCTGCTGGCTCTGACCCCTGTCCCCGCCGGCTCTGACCCGACCATGTCCCCATCCCTGCTGTCTCTGACCCTCTCGATGTCCCCGCTGGCACTGACCCCACCATGTCCCCATCCCTGCTGGCTCTGACCCGTGTCCCCACTGGCTCTGACCCCACCATGTCCCCATCCCCGCCGGCTCTGACCCTCTCGACGTCCCCGCTGGCTCTGACCCCTGTCCCCGCTGACTCTATCCCCACCATGTCCCCATCCCCGCCGGCTCTGACCCCTGTCCCCACTGGCTCTGTCCCCACCATGTCCCCATCCCCGCCGGCTCTGACCCTCTCGAGGTCCCCGCCGGCTCTGACCCCTGTCCCCGCAGCGCTATTCGCAGGGGAACACGGCGCGGCAGAACGAGCACCGGCTGCGGAGCGTGGAGCCGCGGGGCTGCTGCCGCAGCCTGGGCGTGCTGGCGGTGCAGCTGTACCAGCAGCTGATCCGCACGGCCGAGAGGGGCCTCAAACCCATCATCGGTACGGGGGACTGGGGGAACTGGGGTGTGCTGGTTTGGGGAGGGAAGGCGGTGTCTCCCYGGTTCCAGAGGCTGTGCTGGGGGTTAGTGGGCTCTCAGTGGGTGCCTTGCTTTGTGTGAGGGAGCTCTTTGGGCAGCATGGCTTGGGGGAGGTGGGTGGGGGGCTGAAGTGGGCTCAGCTCCTTAAGACTCTTGGGGTGTATCCATGGGGACCTCTGAACCCCCCCCGGTACAGAGCAGGGGGTCAGTCCCTGGCTGCGCTGGGCCTGGGGGTGTCCTCACCCCCACACCACACCCCGGGGCACAGTCCTGGCTGCTCGAGGCTCCAGCCGGGCTCTCTGGCTCGTTCTGATGAGATTTTTGTCCCCTTCAGTTGCTGCCATGCTGGAGAGTGAGCCCATCCAGGGCCTGTCCTCATCCTGCCCGCCCGGCCGCCGCCGCTCCTCCTCCTCGCCTGCCCACACCCTGCCCGAGCTGCTGCAGCGCCTGGGCTCCTTCTGTGCCACCCTGGAGCGCCACGGGCTGGCCACCAGYGTGGGCCACCAGGCCCTGCGCCAGCTCCTCTTCCTCGTCAGCGGCACCACCCTCAACTGCCTGCTCCTGAGGAAGGACATGTGCTCCTGGAGCTGCGGCATCCAGCTCAGGTGGGTCCCAGCTCCTCTTCCTCGTCAGCGGCACCACCCTCAACTGCCTGCTCCTGAGGAAGGACATGTGCTCCTGGAGCTGCGGCATCCAGCTCAGGTGGGTCCC